TTCATTTTGGAATACGAATAAAGCAATTATGATCTGTAAAGTTCCTTAGCGTCTACGCGCAATTTTTTATGATTTGTTTAGTTGAAATATTGACCAGTTCACGGTTCGAAAATTCATTTGAGCAATCTTGCACATTTCTTTATATGTTAATATATATAAATTATGAAGCTTAAGTAGGGTTACTGACTTACTGTTGCCTAACTTTATTAGAGCTATGCTAAGGTCCACTACTGCCATCTATTTTAATAACCTATCAGCTAATGTTTGGGTTGGGCTTTTGTGTATGACCTGGATTTTTGTTTAGGCCTGCAATATTGGGTATAGACCCATGAGTTTCTTCGTAGTATGGGTTGTGATGTTGGTTTAGGCCATCTGTGGACATGAACAAGGAGATTGGCGACAACAATAGATAGGAGAGGCCTTTCACAACAATGACTCTAACATCCTCGTAGAATTTCAAAAGTTGAAAGTGAAGAAACGCAATAGTCCATTTGAATAGGTGAAAGAAGAACATCCTAACACTCAAACTCTATCTTTCCCCAATCTCAAGTTGACACACAGATGTGATCAAAAGATTTGGAACTGCTTTCAGTTCTCGCTATGCTGTGATTGTTCCATTTTAGGGGATTTGTGGGTAAGCAACAACTTTGCTTGAGAGACTGAAAGTGGGATAAGAACGAATGGGATCGGAGCTATGCATACAAAGGAAGCATTCAGACCACAATCGTAGAAGAACGATGGAGGAGGATCGACGACCATGAAGTGGAGAAGACCCATAGCCCTAGCCCATAGGTAAGATTAACCATCAATATAGAGAAAGGACAACAATTGAGTTGGTGCATTATTGATAGTGAAAGAAAGAGAGACACAGAGTATTATTATAATAAAAAGTTATGTATAATACACATACCGAATAGAAGAATCCATTAAGGAAGAAGAAAAAAGAAACAAATAAAGGGACGAAAAATTTAGTGGCGGAGAAATCATGCCCACAAAAGTCCCAAGCCAAATCCCATTGCAATTTACCGGTGATCACCTATATTGTGAAATCAATTGGAGTGAATATAACAAACAACTGCCCTCAACCTACCCAAAATCGAGAGACAGGTTGGTCTCTAAACTTGAGATATTGCATAGAAGAAGATCACCCTAGCGAAAGGAGGGGGAGAGCAGAGCTTTTTACGGTTTAATTTTTGAATGCCAGATCGGAAGCTTGTGCGGCCATGAGAAAGGGAATGATAAGGTTTGATGTCCGGTGATTGGGGATTCAGATTTTAGGGTTTTGATTTTAAATTGAGGTTAGTATTTGTGTGTTAACTGTAAGAGAAATAAAGCCGCTGATATATCTTCTTTTTTTCACTTCATACGTTTAAGGTCTGGGACTCTGGGTCGATGGCCGCTGCGAAGGCTGGCTTCAATTTCTAGTATACTAGATAGGTGCGGCCGCACTCTGCAGCGGCCCATCTATCTCTATCATTTTAAAGAAAAGCAAGGATAATAACCAATCAAACTAAGTACATTTGTTGTATCTTTTTAAATTAAAAACATATAATAGCAGGGAGGAAAAAACGCTTCCCCCATTTCAAATTCCTTGCTCCATGAGCGTTTGTAGGAAGGGTAGAATATGGAGTGTCAATTTTTTTCTCTTTCCTCAATGGAACGGGCCAACATACCGTACACATGCGAATTTAAACGGGTTTAGGAGTGTCAATTTTTTTTTCTTTAAGCCGTTGTATTTCTCCGTGGTGATAAAATATATATGAAAAGACAAAAATAATACTCTTTTTTATTGTTAAAAATAAAAAATTTAACAATAAACTAATGCATGGTATCTAATGGGCTAACCGCTAACCATAAAATAAAAGAGTTGAATGGGTCTGACCTACATGGGATTTGGCCATCAAGTAAAACAAATGAACATCATTGGTTTGACTTCTAAAACAAGCTATTTTCTCTGGCATAATATATATTATGCTATTATTTTATATCTTAGTGGCTAAAATATAATGTATTTTAAAGTTATTTAATGGTTCAACCTCGACCAACCCAATTAGTTCAATTTTAATCATTTCAAATATGTATTTTATAATTATTTGATATCATAATGATCAAATTATAGTGTATTTTATAGGGAATCGTTTGGTATTCGTTAGTAAAAAATTAAACATAAAGATCTATTTGGTTAATTTAAACATTAAAACGATCCTAAACATTTTCAGTTCCTTTTGAATTTCTATGGTTTTATTCCCGAATAAGTGATGTGCAAATGGCGAATTGTAGTCGTCTCTTTTCTTTCACTATTATTTTTTTCAAATAGAAAGTTTAAAAGTAAAGAATAATTAGAATTTGGCATGGGTCGGTCAAACAGGCTAAATTTCAAGTTTTGGCCCGTTTGTTTTATGCATTGCAAATTTATTAGCATGTTGATGGAAATGGCTTGGAAAAAAGACATATAAGTTGTACCTTTGCAGAAATGTCCTCAAATGTTTGAATGCTTTGTGAATCAGGTTCCGTGACTTTTGTGATGGTGTATGTGCTTGACGATTGCTCGATGTTGTAACTACTTAATTTGAGAGTAAATCTTTTGATTTTCCCTATGAGTTGTGATACCAGTTCTGGTGGTTGCAACATGTTGTCGTTGTTGGCCTGTAAAAGTTGTTTCGCCGTGATGCTAAATACCTTTCTTTCTTTTTTAACAAATTGTGTAGTAGTGCTATGAAACAGACCACTCATGAACGCTACGCTTATTATGGTCTGTTCTTACTTCCGGTGGTGAGAAATTGTGAATTGAGAATCATATTCACCTACCGCACTGTGTCTGGCTGGTGGCTGCTTACTGTGCTCCCTAGAGTTATGAAACAGACTACCCATGAACGTTACCCTTAAGAGTCCATAACTTTGCGAAAAACCAAATTTAGGCAATCAAAGGTGGTGGATGTGTGATGATTTTTTATGGCTTAATTGTTTGTGAATTGGATATCTGATCTTTGTATGATTAGAGGGGATGTTTGCTTAATAGAATAATCCATTTTAATTCATGTTTATTTTTAACATGAACTTTAGTAACTCAAAACCTTCGAGACACATATCACCTATTGCATTGTATCATTTTGCCTGGGTGCTTGCTATGTTGTCAAACTTCTTTGCTGCTGCTGCATTTACACTAACAGGGGAGTTAAGAACCCATGAATGTTTCCGTTTGACACAAACAGGAGGACTTGCTTCTAAATCGTGCACTAAAGATGATTGGAGGAAACATCTCTGTTGCAGTTGATATACTGGAGACCAGAACAAAAGCAACGTATAACATCAAAACCAACCATCTGAAATATTAGCATTGTTGCTTTACTCTTTTTTCGAGGTTGAGTCTCCTTCAAAAAATTTTGTTTGAGTTTAGAAAATTTTGCTTCTGCAGTCCTGTCTTGCCACCAACGCGTTTAGTAGATGGAGACGGCAGAGGCGAAGTCTATTTTTGTGTTGTTGTTGCTGGTTTAGGGATCGGTTTGTGAAGAAGAGGGAGAAGAGAGGGGGAAAGGGAAATGCAGGAGAGGGGGATAACTCTTTTCTCCGACAAAAATGGAGTGAAGAAAGGAATTATGATTAGTAAGGATATGGTTATCTTACATAACGGTCTCTATTTTGTTTGAATTGAGCTTGGGAGGCAGTGATAAGGATGAGCTGCAACCGATTCATAGTGAGAAGAGAGCTATGAACTGTGATCATGTCTTATTTCAAGTTAGAAGGTAGTTTCAGTATAAGGATTATTTAATTTGACAAGTTGTTTCGTCCATGATTCTTGGTAGTTTCCGTGTCATTCTAGCCATTGTTTAGTCTGTAATTTTTGAGAATTGATATGCGAGGAATGACTTTCACTTAGCTTCAACTATTATATGTGTATTTATTGGCATGTGATAGAATTCTATTTTCCTTTTCTTCGAATTCAGTTTCATACTCTAATTGTATCATTTGTACATAGGCAAATAATGCTCGAGATGACAACTCCCTGATATGGCTGGTGCAAGGAATGAAGCCATCATTAGAATTCAGACCGACAACGGGGAGGGATGCCCAGGACTAATTCAATGATGATTGATGATGGTATAATAAAAACTGCAGTCTGCATCAGCACCAATTTCTAGGCCTAAGTAAAGTTATTCAACCCAGAACTCTGTTTAGCGCTAAAAATTGCCCTCACCCAACCTTGATCATGTTTGACCCACTTCTGAAGAGTCAAGATATATGACTAATCCTCCCCGTTCGTATTTTCTTATTGACTCTTTCTGACCCTTTAGGTTGGGGCGGGTCGGAAAGAATCGGATTAGTGGGTCGGTCCTAATCAAGTGGAATCCCAATTCCTTCACTCTCACTTGCTTTCTCTCCCATTCCACAAGTGGGTAACATACAGTAATCCGGCCAACGGGCCGGGTAATAAGCTATTTGTTTATTATTTTTATTTTATTGGTTGTGTCCTTTTGTTTTAATAAGTAGAATCTAAAATGGGTCCGGATAGTATAACAACACTGTTTTTGTTGTTATAATAACAATAGAATTGTCTCACTCATTACGTCAGAGAGCGAAAAATACGGAGCGGCGATTTTGAGGTGATTTTTGACGAACTAGGGCAAACTCAATGGCGACTATGGCGGTGTCTCCGCCAAAGGCTGGCAAGGATAAGCCGCCGGACACGCTAAGCGGATCTCGGAGACCTCCGGATGCATCTTCATCCCCAAACAGCAAGCGGGATAAGGAGACGGTCCAAGAAAAAAAGCGTCCTAGGGCTCTGAACGTGAGTAACGACGATGTAGTAATAGAGGACATTACGGAAGAGGACATGGAAGCTGAAGTTGAAGCGGGTAGCGCTGCTACAGGGAAACAACCGGGCACAGGTCAAGCATGGACATCGGGGGCACAAAGGTTATTTACCGAGGTGCTGAAGAAGGACAAATGGTATATAGCAGAGTCTGACTCGGAGGATGTTGCGATGGCTGAGAAGGAAGAAGATGACTTTGTTGACGAACAGGAGGACGACCCAACGTGCCCTTCGGTGTTATTTACAGCAGCTGAAAAAAATCAAGTGGCGAAGAGAATGGCGCTCAGCCCTGGTTGTGCGTAGTCTAGACCGGAGGGTCTTCTATCAACCGCTTTCGCGCAGACTAAATTTCCTATGGGCAAGGAGAGGCGAGCTGCAGATATCGGACCTAAAGAATGGTTGTTTCCTAGTGAGGTTTCGACACGAAGATGACTATAATACGGCTATCAATGGTGGACCGTGGCTGCTGGGGGATACATATCTCACAGTTATGAGGTGGCACAAGGGGTTCAATCCATGGACGACGGAGGTGAAATCTACAATGGTATGGGTTCAGCTGCTAGATTTGCCTATTGAATTTATTAATAAAGAAGCAGTGATGGGGATTGGAGCATTGATGGGAAGGCCGGTCAAGGTGGATAGGGCAACGGAAGAGGGAGCACGTGGAAACTTTGCTAGGGTTTGCGTGGAGGTGGACTTGACTAAGCCACTACTATCAAAATACAAAGTGGAAGGGATTAAATACTTAATCCAATACGAAGGGCTTGAGAATATATGTACTGAGTGCGGCAAGTACGGAAAATCGACGAATACGTGCATGTGCATGATCCCGGTCGTGGAAAAGGAACAAGAGCCGGTATCTATGGTTCATGAAACACCTCCGGAGAGGGGTGGGCTGGATGAACAGCAAGACCCGGTCTATGGGGAGTGGATGATGGTTAAAAGAAAAGCAAGACGTCCAGTGCGACGTAGCTTGCATGGGGAGGGGGGAAATGTGGAACAGGAGCGTAGAACGGGTGCGGCTGTTGCTGGTCCAAACCGCTTCTCAACACTTAGTGGGAAAGTAAATGAGACTTCGGGCAGGCACGGCGAGATGGATTTGAGCCAGTCGAAGGAAGAGGTAAGTGGAGAGGCGGAGAGGGAAGTTAATCACCAGAACGTACAAAAGACAAACCCAATGCATGAGGGCAGGGGGAAAGCTGTTGGAGGGCGTGAGCAGGTAGGAGGGCATGTTAGGGTACCTCAAAGTAAACAAAATGATCTAGCAGGGGGGAAAAAGGGAGGAGTAATAACGAAAGAGGGCAGTAAAAAAGTGAGTTCGATGGGGGTGGAAAAGAAGGGGCAATCGAGTGGTGTGGCAATAAAGGAGCGTGGAATGAAAGAAGGGGTAGTAGGGAGCAACCCACAAAAACATACTGATGGTGCGGGGAACCTATCCCCTTTGGGTATTAGATGAGAATCCTCAGCCATAACTGCCGTGGGCTGCGGAATACACGGTCAGTTAGAGCTTTAAAGTCGCTTTTGCGGAAAACTTCCCCGAGTATTGTGTTTTTAATGGAAACACGTCAGCTGGAAGAGGAGAATGCAATAACTAGAGAGAGTTTGGGCTATAAGAAAGGCAAGAGTTGGCCAGCAGATACTTCTAGTGGAGGTCGGGCGGGTGGACTTTGTTTATGGTGGAAGGATGATGTTAACTTAACAATGATGGATGGCTCTCTCCATTTTCTGGATGCACGAGTTGAGGAAGGGAGAGATATAGTGTGGCGATTTATTGGGATTTATGGATGGTCAGAAGCGGGAGAGAAGACTCAGACATGGGACCTCTTACGTCGGCTAGCAAACCAATGGGCTGGACCGTGGCTTTGCGGCGGTGATTTTAACCAAATTCTGACCTCGAGTGAAAAAAGGGGCGGCAATGAGCCAAATGAAGGTGAGATGGCAGAATTTGGGGAATGTCTACAGGATACAGGGTTGAATGACCTCGGATTCGAAGGATATGCCTTTACCTGGGAAAACCGACGAGGTCTGGGGGCGTATATAGAGGAGAGGCTAGATCGTTATGTGGCGAATGATGGCTGGATGGAACTATTCGGAAACGCTCGTGTACTGAATGGGGAGCCAGCAAGATCGGATCATCGACCCGTTATGTGTGATAGCCTTGGTGAAGCGGATGAGGAAGTGAAGTGGAGCTGGTCCTTTCGTTTCGAACCTCATTGGGAAAAACATGGCGATTGTGCGCGTGTAGTAGAAGAGGCTTGGAATGCACCGGGTGGCAGTGTGTTCACGAAAATAGCACAAGTTCGGGACAAACTGCTGGACTGGAGCCGAGCCGTGTTCCCAAATTTCTGGATAGAACCCCCAAGACTGAGCTGGTTCTGCAACAAAAAAGACAATTACAGTCAGAATTGGAGGAGGTGGAATGTGATGAAGAGCTATTCTGGAAACAAAGGTCCAGGGCGGATTGGTTACGAGGTGGGGATAAAAATACAAATTTTTTCCACAAAAAAGCCTCTGCAAGACGGAAGCGAAATACATGTAAGAAATAAAAAGATGAGGAAGGGCGATGGTATAGAGGTACGGAGGATGTTTTCTCCTGTCTGCTTAATTATTTTGGGCCTCTCTTCACGGCTGGTGATAGACCAGAACACACCCCAGTTCTCGATTCGGTAGAGGCCCTGGTTACACTTGAGATGAACCAGCAACTGACACGGCCATTTACGAGGGAAGAGATTTTTGGAGCATTGCGCCAAATGGGGATGAGGAAAGCTCCAGGGGAGGATGGACTCTCGGTACTGTTCTTTGTGAAATTTTGGCATATAGTGGGGGATGCTGTTACGGCTTTGATCACGGAAATCTTCGAGAGGGAAAGCATGCCGCCGAACCTCAACCATACGCTGATAGCGTTAATTCCGAAAGTCAAGGATCCGTCAATGGCCAAAGAGTTCAGACCTATTAGTTTATGCAATGTCCTTTACAAGATCGTTGCTAAAACAATGGCCAACCGGTTGAAGGTGATCTTGGATAGTATTATTTCACCGGAACAGAGTGCTTTTGTGCCGGGTCGTTTCATTGCTGATAACATTATGACAGCGTTTGAGTGTTTTCACACTATGAAGATAAAATCGAAGAATAAAAAAGGCTTCTTTGCGGCAAAAACAGATATGGCAAAGGCGTACGATAGAGTTGAATGGTGGTTTCTTGAAGGGATAATGAGGAAGATGGGTTTTGAAGAGAGATGGATTCGATTGGTGATGATGTGTGTTACAACGGTCTCCTATTCCGTTCTTGTGAATGGAAACCGATCGCTAGTCTTCTCCCCGAGCCGAGGTCTCAGACAAGGAGACCCCCTATCGCCGTATTTGTTCTTGCTGGTGGCAGAAGGGCTCTCCTCTTACACTAAGAGGGTTGTTCAGGAGAGAAAATTACATGGGTTACAAGTAGCCAGGGGTGCCCCAGCCATCTCCCACCTGTTTTTTGCTGACGACTCTATCTTTTTTGTCAGGGCTACCCTAAATGAAAGCATGGAGTTGAAGCGAATATTGAAGGCGTACGAGAAGGAATCTGGGCAGCAGATTAATTTTGAGAAATCGGAGGTGTCCTTTGGGGCGAGCATCAAAACTCATCAAAAACTGCAGGTGGGCGGAGTGCTAGGAATGAAGACAGTAGAAAAACACGACAAGTATCTTGGCTTGGCAACAGAAGCAGGGAGGTCCAAGAAAGAGCTCTTTGTTAGTTTAAAAGAGCGGGTGAGGAAGAAGCTTTCTGGGTGGAAGGAAAAGACTATGTCGGTGGCGGCGCGTGAGGTTCTTATCAAATCCGTTGCACAAGCGCAATTGAACTATGCGATGTCGGTCTTCAAAATCCCTAAGGGGATCATTGATGACATCCACAGTATTATTATGCGGTTTTGGTGGGGCCAAAAAGGTGATGAAAAGAGAATACCGTGGATAGCAAGGGAGAAACTGATCGCCACAAAGTCAGATGGAGGAATGGGGTTTCGAGACTTGAGAGGTATGAACATAGCTTTCCTGGCTCGGCAGCTGTTGCAGCTACACCAAAGGCCGCATTCCCTAATTGCACAGGTACTGAAAGCAAAGTACCACAAGCATACAGAGATTTTGGAAGCAAAGGCGGGGCCACGACCGAGCTTCGTGTGGCGCAGTCTCATGAGCTCACAGGAGTGGCTGTGCGGCGGACTGAGATGGAGAATAGGAAACGGAGACAAGGTACGGATATGGGGTGATTGGTGGGTCCCAACTGTACCAGGATATTTTGTCCAATCTGCACCGATGGGGTTACCGGTGGACTCGAAGGTTAGTGAACTTATTGACCCGCAAACTGAGCAGTGGGATTCAGCATTAATTGAAAGCTGCTTCCCGACAGCGATGGCTCAAGCCATATTGCAGATCCCACTGCGAGGGATGGATGAGGCCGATAAGCTCATATGGGCCGAGAGCGCGAATGGTAAATATGAAGTGCGAGATGGGTATCGAAATGGCTGGAAGAGTTTAACAGATCACATGGCTACCAACCTATAGGGGAGGCGAGAGTGTGGAACAGTATTTGGAAGATGAATGTTCCTCCCAAGGTAAGACATTTTATGTGGCGGTTTGCGCGTAATTCATTGGCAACTGGTGATAGGATCAGCGCTAGAAGCGAAAAGAGAGGTGACGCGTGCCCTTTCTGCAACCTGAGAGAGACACAAGCCCATCTGTTCGGGGAATGCGGCTGGTCGGGAAGGATATGGAGGAATTCTAACCTATTCCAGTGGTTAAAACTGAGGGAAGATGGAGACTGCCTGAACTGGACACGGAATGTGATGGCCAAAGCCACCATGATAGAGTTTGAAGATTGGGCGATACTCCTATGGTCTCTATGGAAGGAGCGCAATGCCCATCTGTTTAATGGGATGAAAATGCCAGAAGAGGAGATTGTCATGCGAGCCGCTACCTATGCTACGGAATATCGCCAATATCAAGCAGATGAAATTTCGCCACCAGCTCAGGGAGCGCGGCAACAATGGCAGAGACCGGAAGTGGGACGGATTAAAGTGAATACGGATGTGGGTATTGACGCGGAAGGAATGGGACTGGGCGTGGTTATCAGAGATGCGGAGGGGAAGTTTTTATTGGCAGTAGCTAAACGTACAAGAGGAGGGACTAACCCAGAGCTGGGTGAAGCCTTAGCAGCGGAAATGGGTATACAAATTGCAGCTCAACACCAGCTAGGAGTACCTACCCTTGAAGTAGACTGCATGAATCTTGTGAAGAGCCTTAATGGGGCGCACGAAGTTCAAACTGAGGTGGGAGTAGTGTGTCGCAAGATCAGGAAACTTTTGTTGGAGGCAGGAGGAGGGGATTGGAAGTATGCTAATCGTAAGGCAAATGAAGCAGCACATGTTATGGCTCATACGAGAACTAGTTGGGATGAGACGGTTATATGGTTTGATAGACCACCTGTTTTTCTGATTAATCAGCTGCAGCTGGATGATGTAACAGTTTCAGTTGATTAATAAAGCTTTGCGCAGATTTCCATAAAAAAAATAATAATAACAATAGAATTCATTAAGGGTAAAAGGGTCAATTAACAATAAAAATAATAAATACAAATTAATCCTACGCATTTTTCCGTTCTCTCTGAACAGTCAAAGAATCCTCTAGAGCATCCATGGAGCCGAACGAGCCGAGACCTTTCTTCAAAGAAGAAGAGGCGCTGCTGCTACTATTGCTCTCTCCGTCTTCTTCTTCATCCTCTTCCTCGTCGCTGTCGTCGGGAGCGCCGACGGAGGACGAGCTATCGGAAGAATCGTCGAGGGATTTCCCAGATCCAGCCATCGCGAGCCCAATCGACTGCGGTTGGAGATCGAGATCGAACCTACTGATCCATCTTCTCCTTCACTACAAGAAAACACACATATAGCTATATTGTTTTTCGTGGCTAAATCATAAAAAATTTATGGCTAAATTATTTAGCTACAAAATTTTCAATTCGTAGCTTGCGTAGCTAGAGGTGGCGCAGCTAAAAGTTAGCTACACATGTTTTCACTTACGTGGCTAGAATATAACAATTTAGCCACAAAAGATATATATTATAGCCAAACCCGTAATAGATCTTGCTACAAATTTTATGTTGGTGTAGCAAAATCCTAATAACATTTAGCTACAAAATATTATATATATAGCTTTATCTAATCGTTTGCCACAAATTTTCTTAATTTGAAACTAAATGATTGTAGTTTTTGCCATGATGTATGGACATATATAACATTATATAAAATAATTTTAGCTACGTCCGCTGTGAAGTAGCCACAAATGATTTTGTAGCTAATGTATATTTTCTTCCAGCCACGAAAAAGATCATAGTTGTAAGTTTTATGTATAGCTTTGTATTAATATTCATGGCTAGTTTAATTCATAGGCTCGCTATAGGCTCATTCGTAGCTAAATTATTACAGTTTTAGTATGAATACCTGTTACACAACAATTTAGATTTAACTTTATATAAACTATTCATGGCCAACACGCTTTTATTGGAATTTTTTTATTTTGTGAGAAAAATACATTCCCAAAAAATATCAATACATATAGAGAAGAATCCGAATAAGAAAACGGCAAAAAAATCTTCTAAGAATATTTGATTAAGAAATCAACTTCATAATCTTCGCGGATGATTCTTCCTTTGACTGTACCCTTCGCTGATTAGTTGCTTGCTCGGCCCTGGTTGACTTCAAAACAGATTTAGCCAATTAGGTTTGCTAGGTATTAGAAATGAGAGCACTAATGGTTACAATCCAAAAAACATACGGATGAAAGCATGGGAGGTAGTCGATAGAATTACTAGGCAAATTTTGGATCCAATACTGTAACGGGAATGAAAAAGAAAAAAGATGTAAACAATTATTAGAGGAAAGAAGAATTGAAAGATGAACATTGCGATAAACACAAACGAGCATACATGTAACTTGGTTTATTGAGCTGAGAGGAATAGGAAGAAAATGAAGCCAATCAAGTAAAATCAGTTCTACTCAGAAACTAAAATTCAACAAATTACCTCGACCGGTGTTTTGCTTTCCAGGAATTGAAGCTCTCAATCAAGCGATTAATTGAGAGAATGGATGATTGCTCTTATAAAAGCTCGCAAATTTGCCCTTCCCGCTTCTGTTTCCGCTCAAATTTTCAATTGTGATATGTTTGGGTCCTTTGGGATATGGATAATACTTATTATAAAAAGTACTATATGGAGAAAGACGTCAAACACACCTCTAATTACATAGGAAAAAGAAGTCCTAACGAATCAAGTAAAATAAAAGTTTCCTTATTTGAGTGCAATATGTGTGGTAATTTTATTCCTCTCTCCTTCATTTTAATTAAATATATTTTCAGCATTACAAACTTGCAACGCATATGACTAGATTAGAAGATATCTCTCCATGTTAAAAAAAGAAAGAAAGATATCCCTAGGTTGTTTTATAGTCATGAAAATTTATTCTTTTCTCGCAAAAAGAGTGAATCTTTTTGTATATGACTATATCCAAGTGGAAAACGAATTATTTATCATCATGTAATGTAATTTATGATTTTCACCTATAAATAGAGATGTCATTCGGGCGGGTTCTGGTTAGGTTCGATTGAATTACGAGTTAGTTGAGTTTCAAGTTCATCGGGTTGCGGGTCAGTCAAGTTCATGTTATCAGGTTACGAGTAAGTCGGTTTCAGATTCATCGAGTTACGAGTTAGTTGCATTGCGGGTTCATTGGATTGCGGGTCAATAGGGTTACGGGTCGGACGAGTTCTAAGCGGATCAGGTTGTGGATTGTACGACTCAACACATTGTATTAATTTATATTTACTCGTTATAACTTACACATTATTAGTACACTCATTGAAAATATGTTTCGCACTTTTTAGACAATTATTTTCTACCTTGTGAATGTACTTATAAAAGTTAAAGAACCTTATCAAAGGTTGAATTAATTTTTTGATCTTTAAGATAACTTAGTTATTGGAATCGTATTACTTACGAAACTTTCCATGTAGTTGATAATTGGTAACGTACACTAGTTAATATAGTTATGGTGAGGTAAACATTGTCATCTAATAGTTCTATTACAACCACAAATTAAAAGATGTAGCATATAATACATAAGTGAAAACTCATATGCAGTCTAAAATGAAAACTTATAATAAGTAACTTCATAAGCATTCAGGTGATGGCTAGTGATATGTTCTCAAATCTACTATAAAGCATCGTAAATAAATATTATGATAATCAAATTAATAGGTAATTAAGTATATGATCTATAATATAAATAACCTGCATTTGAGAATGTTAAAGTGATATTATATTGAAGATGAGATAACTCATAGTGAATTCTCTAATATAATATAATATAGTCAATTAGTGATTCCATATAAGGCTATAATATAGTTAATTTGCATACCCTCCACATTAAATTACATATTCATATTTAAAAGTAAAATTTTGAAAAACCAAAAATACAAAGTAAAATTTATCCTTTTCTTCTTTTCCCAAAACATTGGAAACACCAAAATTTATGTTCTTCTCCTATAAATTCAAAACACTCAAATTTTCTTCTTCTTTGTTTTCAAAAAATTTGAAAGAACACAATTTTTAATTATTTTTGTCTTCTAAAAGGTAAAAATAAAAATGTCTCGTTATGTCTCATTTTATAATTAAAGCTCGCAAAATTTCTCACTTCTTTCAACCATGAAAATTATTTTTCTCTCGTAAGAGATAGTTATTTATATATATATGACTATATTCAAGTGGCATACTACATGTTTTTCATCATATACGAGAAATCTATAACTTAATTCATAACAAAATCACTTGAGGTACAGTTGTTTTAGTGTGGCAAAAGCCAAAAGGTAACATCATTTCGGTTAAAGAAAAGCGGTAAGTTGAGTTCCTTATAAAGTTTTGCCCTAAACATCAATCATTTGAAGCTATAGAATCATTAGATTACCTACTATTAATAATATTTGTAACTATAGAGTAAGCTTCAGCCGCATGTTCTGATTTCGTGGCTAACCATGATGCAGTGATGGTATATTGTCATGAATTAAATCTTTTGAGGCTACAAATTATAAGCAGCGTGAAATTCAAGTGGTGGCAAGTAATTTAGAAGCTAAAAGTCTAATTATTGCTACAATATTCATTCTTCAAAACTAAAAACGAACACTAGCTATCTAGAATAACTTTTGTAGCACAATAGTCAAATAAAATTGCAATTAGCTACCGGGCGAAAGATTTTGTGGCTATATTGATACACTAGCTACAATTATAAAAATTGCGGCTAACATTTTGTGGCTATATGTATTGTTTTTAGTAGTGCTTCCTCTCCCTCCACAAGAGATGAAACCCTATGCTTCAGTAGCAACCGCTGGGTCTCCGCCTGTGAGAGGGAGTAACCCGCCGCTGCTGCCGCCGCTGCCGATTGAGTAGGCGAAACGTCGATGGTGAAGGTAGGACCCACTAAGACATCCATGTGATATTCTGCAGCCTTATCGTTCGGTTCTCTTCCGATTGTCGTTCTCAACTCTTTCCAGTGATCGGCCGCCGCCACAGGAAACGCAACTACAGACTGCGATGTCGGAGCTCCTGATCCTTCTCCTCCGATTGCAGCCCGATCTCACATCGTCTCTCCCAGCGCCTCAATTTACCTACTGTTTAGATCAATTTCACCAGAGGTCTCGGGATTGTCGACGTGGTCGGAGTTGCCGAAGCTTGGATCGGTGGGCGATGTGTTCGCCGGTCAGGATATGGGACTGCTGCGTCGGTGTTGGCGGTGCTACATCATATAACTCGTCTGAGTCGATTTCATCAATAATCGACATCACCCTGCTGTTCCGACAACCCTTCTTTCTCAATGAATGATCCCCCTCCTCCCCTCCCTTCTTCTTCTCTTCCTAGGAGAAAGACAGAGTTTAATTTAGCTTCTTCTTCTCTTCTTATTGCTTTGTCAGTGAAAATGAAAAGTCAATTAAATATGTTTTCCTTATTGCATCTTAATAATTTTTGCAAATGAACTCTTTTATTTTTCTTTTTGGTGGGGCAAATGAACTCATTTCAATTTCACTGCGGAAACACCAATCTAGTTTTCTTGTAATTGCAATTAGTGATTCAAAGTCAATTTTATAATTTCCTTAATGCTAACCACAAATATTTTGAAACAAACCACATATACCACAAAACATACCATAAATATTTCATAAACACACCATAAACTTCTTAATGCAAACCAGAAACATAGAAAAGCAAACCATAAACGTCATAATGCAGACCACAAATCTCCTAAAACAAACCACAAACCTCACAAAGCAAACCACAATATTTACGAAAGCACACCAGAAACCTCCTACTGAAAACCACAAATACAGTAAATCAAACCACAAAAAAACTTCTTAATGCAAACCAGAAACCTCCTAATGCATACCACAAATCTCCTAAAACAAACCACAAACCCCACAAAGCAAACCACAACATTTGCGA